ACAATAGGATAAAGTGTAGAGACCAAGCTGAGTGTTCTGTCTTATAGCAGGAGGTGGCTCTGCACAGGAGGGTGTAGGGTTTTCTTTTTCTTTCTATAATTTTTTTTTTTTTTTTTTGTCTTTTTGAGACAAGGTCTCACTCTGCAGTTCAGGCTGGCCTTGAACTCACTTTGTAGCCCAGGCTGGACTGGCACTAGCAACGATCCTCCTGCCTCAGCCTCCCTAGTGCTGGGATTACAGGCGTGTGCCACCACGCCCAGCTGGGTGTAGGGTTTTCGTTTAGCTCAGGCTTTGTTGAACAGAGGTGTCTGCCTTCGAAAACTGCCCTCAGAACCTCAGGCCTTATCTTGGCAGTGAAAGGGTCAAGCACATCTTGTCTTTTCCTCCCTGAGTGGGCATCCTGTCATTTCTGGCCCTGTAAACCAGAAGGCAGAGGGGAATATAGGCTGCTCCAGAAATAGAAAAGTGATCCAATCCAGCAACCCCTGAGCTCCCACTGTGGGCTGCCCCAAGCAGTCCCCAGGCCGCTACAGTGGCACGTGTACCTTGTCATGCAGCTGAGTGTCAGTGCTGCCTGTCAGACAGAGCGTGGGCAGTGTCTGCAATATTCCTTACTTGTTTCCAGCTTTGGGGGTGGCTCTGATTTTTCTCACATCGAGTTCTTTCTCACACCACTATTCACCACAGGACTGACTTAGCTGGTGTATTTGCATGTTTGGTACCATATGTACACATGGATGTCTGTGCTTGTCATTGTGTATTGTTGACTTTGAGTAGGGTGGATATTGGAGGCAGCCAATCTGGTTATATTATTATTATTAATTTTTCTTATTTGGTTTTTTTTACACTGGGGTCTCACTGTGTAGCCCAGGCTGGCCTCAGACTCATAGCGATCTTCCTACTAGAGTGTCCCAAGTGATTAAATTACAGGTATGCACCCCCATGCCTAGTGCGTTTTTTTATTGTTTATTAAAGCAGTGGTGATTGGTGAAAGGAACTGGAAGGAAGGTCTGATTTCTTTGCTTAAGATAAATATGTTAGCTGGGCATGGTGGTGCGTGCCTGTAATCCCAGCACTCAGGAAGCTGAGGCAGGAGGATTGTTGTGAGTTTGAGACCAGCCTGCGCTGCAAAGTGAGCTCAAGGCCAGCCTGAACTGCATAGTGAGACCCTGTTTTAAAAAGACAAAAATAAATGAATAAATAATGTTATGAAGACTATGGAGCTGTCATAGAACTTCAGTAAATTTGCAGGTCACACACCTAGCTGTTTACAGATAGGAAATTCTGAGATAATTTAAGGCTGTCAAAAGAAAAAGAAGGAAAGAGGGGTGCTGGAAGGGACAGAGTAGCAGTTACTTTATTAGACCGGTGATTGTTTTAAAAACTTTTTTTCTTAACACTGTGGTGGCTTGATATTATGAAAGGTTTTTTTTTTTTTTTAACCTTTTTTAGTACCAGAAATTGAACTCAGGACCTCATGCTTGCCAGCCGGGCACTGCACCACTGAGCTAACTCCCAAGCCTGGAAGTTTTTGTTTTGTATTTTGTCTTTTTTTTTTTTTTTTTCCTCCGGTACCAGGAACCAAACTCACGACCTTGCGCTTGCCAGGCAGGCGCTTTTGCCGCTGAGCTAAATCCCCATCCCCTGTATTTTGTCTTTTGAGACAGGGTCTTCCTATGTAGTCCAAGATGGCCTTGAACTCATTATGTAACCCATTATGTCCTTGAACTCACAATCTTCTAGCCACAACCTCCCTTCCAATTGCTGGGATTACAGGTGTGCACCGCCATGCCTGGCTACAAACTATTTTTTTTTTTTTTTTTTTTTGAGACAGGGTCTCCCTATGTAGTTCAGGCTTGCCTTGAACTCACTATGTAGCCCAGGCTACCTGGAATTTGGTGGCAATCCTTCTTCCTCAGCTTCCAGAGTATTGGGATTACAGGCGTGCGTTACCACAGCCTCTGACTTTACAGAACTAGTTTTTGTTCTAAAGGAGATTATAATTTGTGGAGGAGTTTTGGTGTGATGGAGAAAAAAAATGCTGAGCCCTCTCAGATTTAACTGTTCGTGATTAGAGCTTTCCAAAATAGGGGCTATTAATAAGGTATTTTTTATTGTTTTTTGTTTTTAGTTTTTTTTTTTTT